AAACCACTCAAGCTTTTTATACGGCTAGCAAGCCAATCACTAGCCGCCACGTGGGAATAATTTAGAACTAGCCAATGGTGGGGCACAAATTTGAATACGAATGGCGGGAACTCCTTGCAACGTGCATTTCTGTGCTGCAACAAAGAAATGCACCCTGCAAAGAAAGCTACTGGTGGCAGGAATTCTTTTGCACCGGGGTTTTCCTCTGCAGCAGAAAACTCCACCGTGCAAAGAAGCTGCAATTTAGCGGGAACAATTTAGCAGTGCCGAAGCACTCACAAAACAAAAATCACACCCTTGGGTTGTGACATCATCTTCTCTCCCCTCTCTCCATATATACAGCTGGTTGCATGGAGGGAGGGACAGAATTCAATCTTCAGGAGCAGCTACACTTTTAACCCTTTCACAGGCACTGTGGAATTGGCAGGAGCTTTTGGCTAAGCAACAAAGTGCTGCTGTCCTTTAGGCAGTGGCTGAGAGAGAGTTAAAACATGTAGTTCTTGCCTGAGCAGGAGAGGGAGAACATAAGTGTCATACTGGATCAGTTGAATGGTCCCTCTCACCCAGCCTCCTATCTATAGCAGTGGCAGAAGTCAATGATATACAAGGCGAGTGTTGAACTGGTAGAGCGATATGCATCATTGAGCTAAAGATGCCAAAGGAAACATCTCCAACCATTCTGTTCAATAGTCTTTAGATCTATCATCCATGAATTTATCTAGTCCCTTTCTGAATCTGGCTATGCTGTCTTCCTCCTGGCACTTCCTGTTACAATAGGTTCTATATTCTTTGGACTTGGTGAATAACAGTTCCCTGTTCACTCAGGCTATGCCGTTCATGATTTTCTAGACCTCAGTCATATAGCCTTTTCCTTTCCAAACTGAAGTGTTCTAGCTTTTTTAGTCTTTCCTGGCATGGCAACTGCTCTAGGTCCCCTGATCATTTGGGCTGTCCTTCTGTGTACCTTTTCTAATTCTACTATATCAGTTTTTGAGATGTGATCAGAACTGCACACAGTATTCAAGATATGGGTGCACCAGGGATTTGTATATTGGCATGACATGTTCTCCCTTTTGTTTTCACTTCTCTGCTTAATGATGCCCAGCGTTTTATTGACTCCTGATTTCTACTGCATACTGAGATGAAGTTTTTAAAGAACTATCTACAATGTCTCCAAGGTCTCTTTCTGAATCCTAACAGTTCGGAACCCAGCATTGTGTATGCATAGTTGAGGTTATTTTTACCAGGTGTTTTACCTTGCACTTGTCAGTTTTGAAGTTCATCTGCCCTTTTTTTTTTACCCACTCATTTAGCTTGGTGAGATCTTTCTGCAGCTCCTCTTCACTAGTTTGGGACTTGACTACACGTACACAGACTAATTTGGCATCATCTGCAACCTTAGAGGTTTCACTGTGCTCCCCCATTTCCAGGTCATGGATGAAAATGTTGAGCAAAATAGGACCCAGCACAGATCCCTGTAGGACCCCACTTTTGACCTCATTCCATCCTGAAAAAGGAGGGTGTGTGTGCTGAAGTTTCAGTTTTATCCCAGCTCCTTCTGGCCATAATTCTGGATATTTTTTTTCTTGCTGCATTAGTTGATGTACAAACATAAAAGCAGTCCATGTTTCAAGCTTGCAATCGAAACAAAATTTTGGAAAAAGGTAGTAAATAATAGTATTTCAACTTTAGAGATGGGAAATACAATTTTTATACAGCAAGTATATGGTAGAACCAGGAACTGAGTCCAGATTTCCTGAGTTCAGGTTTAACCCCTTAGCCACAAAATCATGCTCCCTCTTTCTGTCATCTTTCCCTTTGCTTTTTGTAGGACTGGCAGACAGTAAAATGTCAGTTCTCTTTGTAGAGCTTTTTTTAAAGATTTTCAGGTTTAGTAGTCTTTCTATAACTCCTGGAGAATCCTAGACCTTCATTGTATGGATTTCCTTCCTAACGTTTTACTATATAAAGCTTCTAATAACTGTAGGTTGTTATAGGTATTAGCATATCCATTAAGTCTTTTACATTGAAGTGGTCTCATCCAATGATAGTCTAATATACCGAGTATAATGACATAACTAAATACAAATAAGTGGAATTCTCATTATTTTAAATGTTAAACTATTGTCTGTGTTGGCCATGATTTGGGAAGAAAAACTTATTTGAAGCAAAAGTTTTTTATCTTAAATAATTTCCAACAGTCTCATAACTGTTACTTTTTTTGTCTGCTGACTTTAGAATTCAAATATTCTTCTGTTCAGATAATTTTCAGAATGAATTCCTTGTTTTATACTTTGTCCAACTCATTATTAAATTATCTTGAGGTTTTTAAGAGGATCCTTTTGTATTTAAGAGGAACTGTGGTTGCTCCAGATGTTTATATTAAAAAAAATACTATAAACTTCTTCAGAATGTCCCAGCAATTATTTATGTAGTCACAGAAAGAAAGTTTTAGAATATTTGCTTGCAGAAAATAGTATATGTATTATGTTACAATATATGGGTACAGTATATGATTACACTATTAAAGACTCCATTGTCTTGCTATTGCATACAAGTGCTTTGGCAGCAGACTGCAAATTGCTAATTTGTAAAATCCAGTATTTACAGTTGGAAAATTTGGAATTGGAAGGGACTTCTCAGGCCATCGTTTGTAGTCATTCGCATTTGCAGGAAACAATTTGGCCAAAAGTGTCTACGTGATTATTCACCTTCAGACACTGCAGCCCCAGAGCACCCTTTGCTAGGGAAAAAAATACCTACGAAGTTAAAGGTACCACAGGTGAAGAGCAGGGGAGACATTTATGCTTTGATACTGCTGTAGCAGAGATTATTTTACTTTTATGTGCGCAGTATTGCTCCAGGAACTTAATCCTGTCATTCTATCCCTTCAATAAACATATTTGAGCTCTGTCTTGAAGCAATTCACATCACTGTTTTCAGAGGGCCAATTTAAAACTTCTCATCTTTGATTATTAAATCCTTTTTCTAAGTTAGAGTTTAAACTTATTCATGACCCTCCTAGTGTACTTAAGGTGCTTTAAGCCATCTGTTACTTAATAGATACAAAAATGTGTACTGTAATATACTTTTAAAAGCTGTAATAATTAAATTGAAACATTATACTAGAATATGGTGAAGTGGAATAAGCATGAGTTAAGTTTGAGCTGTGTTTCTGTGTATTAGCCAAGCATGATGATGTTTTAGAGCATGGAGATTTTCCATTCGCTTTCACTTCACATTTTTCTTGAGAAACAGCATTTTCCTATCATTGTGGAATCCATACGTTGTATAGATATGTATGACACCATTACATGAAATAGTTAACTGTGTTGAAGGAATACTTGAAAGCAGACAAAGCTTTTTTTCCTAGACAGTCTGATGCTTTGTCCAAGTACTCTAACCCAGTTAAGAAGTTTTTATTCCTATATGATTTTAAGAAGAGAAGTCTTGTTAGTTAGTGAGTGTACACTTTTTTTTTTTTTTAGATAAGTATATTTTGGTTAAAAACATTTGTACCACTAAGCAGATATTTAGTTTCTATAATAGTGTTCTGTAAATAGTCTGGTACTGAACACATGTCTTTACCTTGCACTGGCCCTTAGGTGGCAATGTTGTCTTTGTAGATGCCAGTAACGAGCCTTTGTGTCCTTGGTATAACAATAATGAAGTCAGTGCACAGTGGACCATGTTTAAATTCTGTACTGGGTCTGTGTATCATGCCTTGTTCCTTCTTATATGGTTCCTGGGATTGCTATTTACTTAATTCTTTATAAAATCACTTCAAAATATTTTGGCAGCTAGTTCTTAATAAAGGCTATGCAACTTAAATATTATAAGATGCATTGTAAAGATGAATATTTAGTAGTCATTTAAAAAGCTTTGCTTTTAAATATGGAACATTAGAGGTCCAGTAAATTAACAAAGAGTAAAGTTTAGCTAATTAATTGTGTGAAATAAGGGGAGTAATATTTAAGACCTGATAAAATAAAATATAGTTAGTTATGCATTTAGGATGGTATATCTGGGGCAGGAAATGAAAAATAGAAAGTATGTGCTGAAGCAAGCATCAGGGATCCTGAGGGGAAACTTTGGAGAGAACCAGCAACCAGCTATTGTTTTTTGCTTAGACTTTTGCCCTATTCCCAATTCAGTTAACAGTATTGTGACTGTGGGAAGTTTGAGGCTTTTAGTAGATCCTTAAGTGCAAAGGCCAAGGTACAGTGGAATTCAGCCTAAAGTGGGTGAAAATCTCTCTCTTTCTCTCAGATCCAGAACCAAGTAGCATAAGAAGATATCTTTGGAAATCTGAAGAAATCTTTGTCAGAATCTTATTTTCCCCATTTAACATAAAGCCTACCAAAGTAAATGAATACATCTTACATTTTCAAGGAGTCTTAATTACTATTTTGTTTTTTGCAGGGCATGCACATACAGTATAAAATACAAACAGAATATCAGGCAAACAGGAATGCACACAGAAACAAGTATCTGAAGAGTTTTATGTTCAGTTATTTTTCAGGTCTAAATATTCCTTACTACCTCAGTATGAGATTTAGTTAAACTAATCCCATTTAATCTCTTTGCTGTCAGGTGATTCAGCAGCTCCTGAACAATTAATACTGTAAGTGTAAAGCTTAGCATTGTTGCATCACACATTAGAATGCAATACCACTTTGATAATTGCACTTGAAAAAAACTTTTTCATGCTCTGTGGTTTGTTCAAAATCTTCTTTCTGCATTCAGGAGGAAGGTGTCACGTCAGAACAAATCTTTTTATGGTTCATAGTTATTGTTTCACCAATACCCCTTAGTGATTATTAACTTCTCAATGTCCCCACAACATCACTTTTGAGAATTCTAAAACTTTTGAGGCAAACTTTGCTTACATACAAAGTTAAATATGTATTCATTTTTATTTTAACATAAATACAGTGTTTGTGAAACATGCCAGATTGACAGCACTGGAAACTGAAGTCCTGTTTTTGTCCATTAAACAGGTACAGCTTGAGCAGCAGCAGTGCAAGTTTCGCCACACTGCTCCACCAATGTGCTGCAAACCCTGACCTGGAGGGACACCTCTAGGAAGGGGTCTGAAGCTTCTTCAGTCTCCATGCTCATTCAATCGTTACTGTGGCTGGCAACAAGAGTACCCATTTGTGATAGTGGATAGATACCCACATCACAAAAGCACCAAGAACCGGACTGAAACCAGCAGCTCATTTCAAATAAGCATCTGTCAGATGATGATGACTTCAGTTACTACAAACCTGGGCCACTGATAAGAGGTGAAGGGCTCCATGTCCTATTGCCAATCCCCTGAGTCTCATCTCATATATAACAGTTTAGCATATTTATATTATACTATACAAAACCAAAGTGTACAAATTGTAATTATTTTGTAAAGTAAGAGTGTGTATAGTTTTAAAATGCTTGTTTTTAAGTTTTAGGACTATGATTTTAAACAGTTTTAGTTGAACAGTTTCATTGCTCTGTACTTTTTGTACAAACACTGCATTTATCTGAATTTTAATGGCTAGTTGAATTTGTGATTTGCTTTTTTGTTATGCACAGTATTTTTAACAAATAAGCAATTTAAGTTGTAATATGTATCAACTTACACTCTGTACACCAGTTATTTTCCCTGCATTAATTAAGTTTTCAGCGTTTTCTCACCAGGCAATTGATTGTAGATCAGTAAGTAGTTGCTCTACCTACTTGTGCAGCTTTAAGACTTTCAATTTTTAAATATAAATATAAGATACATTAATTAATATTCTTTCTGCAAATTCTTTAAGTTTTAATGCTACAGTTCTGGTCATAAATATCCCAGATGTGCATGAAAAATGTTCAGTAAGTGCACAAGGTCCATGCAATATTATAATTTACCAACGGAAGATTTAATTCAATAAAATTAAATTATGGATTAAATAAAATGAAAAAAGAAACACTGGTAAAAGTTATGTCTATATTTTGGTCCAAGCTTAAATGTGGTGTGATGCTGAATACTTGTCCATGAACATAAAATAAATATATTTTATTAAATATACTTTATGTATAGTTGTACAGATTTAATCATTTATTGATTTTTTTTTCCAACAGGAAAATTGCTATTTTTTGCACTTGGACATGGTAGTAAATTAGTACACTGTAAATATGATGTACAATAATGGAGCATAATTTTGAAAGCGCTAAGTTTTCAAAAATATTTTAATAATATAATGGGTGGAGATCACAGGTAGAATTTAAAGGTAAATTGCATTAAGCTAGGGATACAGAATGTGATCCAAATCCTGTGCTCACCTGTGTAATGTGAGAGAGACAAGCCACACACTAATTTAAATGTACACTGAAGGAAATGGCGGTACTCAAGTGAGTAACTTGAACATGTTTTTTCTTGTATTTATGGAACATGCAGTGTTCTGTTTTCTATTAAACTACTGACCTACAAACATCAAGTTAAAATGTATTTAGAGATAGGTAAACAGAATACCCTAAAATGTCATAATTCCTATATATTTTGATTATTTGAATGATTTGTTTTATACATCAAGGAGAAATACTCGTCAAATTAAATTAATAGAAAGGTGGGATAAACAAGTCTGTACAAAAAGAGGTTTCTTTAGTTATAAAAATTCTATTACAGGATGTGAATGCTTTATTGAGAGATGTGTGTACAGCTCAAGATCAAGGGGTTTCTTGTGAAGAGCCATGTTGAACAGTTTTTGAAAGATATATTATGCCTCAATTTGTTCACTAGAATGAAATGAAAAGTATGTAAAAAACTCTAAAATGTATAAACAAGAAAATTAAATGCTGATTATTGGATAGTGTGCTCTGTAATAGGCTCCACAGACCTTCAGTTAGACCGGAGTATAGATACTCTATTTTTTATTAAAATAAAAGTCAAAGCACGTAAGTTTGCCAGGTATTGACTGGTAGCTTGGGATTGGTACCAGGATATTTGGAGCCTTTTTGATTACTTGAAATATATATTATTGCCCAGGTCAGTGGTAACTAAGTCATTTATATTTTAAGTCATCAAATAAGAATTCTGTGATGTTACTGAGAGAAAGAGAAAGGAGTCCCTTGAATACCCACGGCTGGCTGGGAAAAACTCGAACTTTTTAGTACTTTGTCTTTAAAGCACTATACAGGTGATAATTAATTCAGTCTCTTTCATTACCTCTGAACCTAGCTATACTCTTTTTATGAATGGGGAAGATGGGATACCAACAGTTTGAGACTTGCCAAAAGCCACAAAGTTTATCAGTGACATAACTAGAAATAAATAAAGGCCTTCCTTTTAGCCTGGCCTTTGGCCAGTCCTTTGGAGCATCTTGTTTATCTGCCTTTAGAAAGGGTAGATTTTTCACATTGGGTTCCTGAACAAAGAAGTGTGTGTAAAAATTGCTAGGCACTTAATTTCCACTAATTGGATTTAAAAAAAAAATGTAGGTCGTCTCTCTTAAAACTAAGGGGTTTTTGATTTGTTTTCCTTTTTTTTTTTTGTTTTTTTTTTTTTTTTTTTTTTTTTTTTAACTCTGATGACCAACTTGAGACACCTATGTTCAAATTTCTCAAGTCTGGGTTTCATACTCCAAGTAAGGAATATAAATGGAAACCTTCCTTAGTCTTTCTTCATTTTTTGCAGAAAACAAAGTTAACATGAATCATTTGCAGTTCACCATTTGCAGGATCATAGAACTGATGTGTTTCATACTTGTTAAAATGTATCCACCCTCTTGAAGATGAACAATGACTTAAAACTGATAATGTGGCTTCTAGTGGGTTGTTAGTTCCTTTTGTTGAAAAGAGATCACAAATAAGATGCTGGGAAGCAACTCCTTAGAACTATCATGATTATTACCTTAAAGTGGTGCAATTTGTGTACAAAATACGCTCTTTATCTGAACTGAATGAGATTATGCAAAAATAAAAAAGATGAATAAATTCATCTTCTTTATATCAACCGTTTCAGCAAATACCAGTTAATCTTTTTTAGCTTTGTAATGCTAGATAGATGCTGTCTGTCTTCGATCCCGGCTCCCCAGTAGAGTTCAGCCCTTCCCATTTCTTCTTTGATTATAAACATAGGATAATTCCCTACTTTAGATTTTGACAGAATCTCTTTTGCGTTTGGCCTATTAAATGTTGGCTTTGGTAGAAGAAGCTTCATATTCTTTCTGTCCATATCATTGTCTTGTACCAGTTTCTGTGGTGTCCAGGTACCATGTACAGTCGTGGCCTTAGTATTTTCATCTTGAGATGAACTTAGTCTATTTACTAGTGATGGTTCGTCCTCATTAAAAAGGGTAATTCTGTTGGCACTTACACAATAGAGGGCAAAAATTGTTTGGACATGGAGACTGAAATTACTCTATCAAACCTATAAGAAGGTTCTCCCAGATCACAAGTACATCTCCATAACTTTTCCTCCTTCTTAGAGATGGTAACACCAAATGTTGCCCAAATGTGCATGCTTGGGTTTCATATTTCATCCTTAACTCATTAATTTACTCTGCTTATATTTTGGCAGTTCAGCCCCTCACGTGCTGTCCAAATCACAACTTGGATATATGCTGCCTTAATTATAGTTACCTGTCCTTTGGCTTTTCTAGCCACATTGTTTCTTTCCAGTTTGTCCAAAATGAAGCTCCTGAAGTGGTTTTTACCTATTGATCAGATTATACAATTTCATACTTCAAATCTGGCTATGGGCTTGATTTTACTTACCGAATTCTAAATTTCTTATGTCCTTGCTCTCTCTGTCTCTTTGCTGCTTTCTCTCTTCCTTGTCTGTGCATGTTTTCATGCAGCCCCAATTTCTACCTTGGTCCTTTTATCAGGTCTCTCCTTTGAGATCTTTGACATTCTATCTGAGTAGGTTTTATCACCAAGCAAAGCTGGCCTTAGGGGAAAATGGTGCCCTGGGTGAATTTGTATTTTGTATTTCACCCCCTTCCTCTGGCACTGTCTTCATGTCAGTAGCGCTGGTGCAGGCAGATGGGCAGGGGCACAGTCTGGTGGAGATGCAGTGGCATGGTGCACCAGCCTGGCTTCTCCTGAGCAGCAGATGGAGGTGGGGGGCTGGGCTGGTCTGGGTACTGCTCCTTGGGCAGTGATGGGCGGGGAGAGAGTGCTGCTGTGAGCATGGGTGTGTGTGTGTGTGGTGTCTCCCTGACCATGGCACCCTGGGCAGTTGCCCACGTCTCCCACCCCTAAAGCCAGCTATATAGCTAAATATTAGAAGTAGTATATAATGTGCTATTTTTATGTGATACAATCCTGTCATTTGTTCTTATGATCAGACTGGCTTTATTCCCCTGTTACCGTCTTTTTTGCGTAGACTTGTTTATTTGCGTATTGTTTACTGTTTAAAAAACTATTAATTCTTTGCGAATAACAATAGTTAGTGGAAAAACTTGTACTGCCATTCCATACTCTACCTTTTGGTGGATAAAAGGAATATTCTTGAAATAGAAGAAATATTTTTTATCACTTTACTGTTTAAAATGGTAAACGCCTTGTTGAAAAATATTTTGCATTGTTAATGGGGAAAATTCCTTAATCAATTAATGGGGTGGCTACTCCCAATTAAGGAATCCACAGTAAAATGAAAGGGGCAGGGCCTTGCTCTCACCAAGCATTGGCCTACAGCCCAGCACCACTGGTGATTTAATAATTAGCAATAATCAGACAACACAAGAAGAGGGGTAATAATAGCAACTATATTCAACAACAATCAAAGCAGCTAATTAATACTAGCAACAACGGTCACATATCAATATTAACAACAACAATGTACAAAGACAGATAGCTACCAAAGAGGGTGCTAGAGAGCAGTTCTCCTCTCATACACTGTCAGCACTCAATTGCGCAACACTTGCACAGACACACACTCTCAATAGCAACTCATTTCCCAGGCCCTTTAGCCACAGACGCTCCAGACTCAGCAAACATTCTCAGCCCAAATGACGGCCGGTCCTCTTGCCACCGCTCATGACACTTACTGGATACGCTTTCACGCTGGACCATGTTGTCCTCTGGCCTCCCAGGCCCTTGGGTACAATGCTTCAAAGGTGTGCTTGTCAGCCCCACTGTCGGGAGGAGATGCTGATCTCGCAGATCCTCACTCTCACAGGCACCCCTGGGGAATAACATCCATATCTAGGAGATGCAGACAAACCACAGGAGAACACAGAGCCCCCGGACTGTGCTCCTTTATACTCTCCCATGACTGGCTCTGGTCTGTCATGCCATCAACCAAACACACATGTGTACAACACTCATCGCTGCTCACATCCCTCTTCCTTGGTGCACTTGACACCTTACCTGTCTATCATGAGATACGTGTGACTTGTATCTTATGGCCTTTCCTGCCAGACAGGGATATTATCACGCATGTTTGGAGCTCATTGAAGTTTAGGAGTTCACTGACTTTGAAACCTTCTGACTTTTAGTCAATCTGAGCATATGTAAACTAGTCGGGCCAGGGGATATTGTGACCACTAGCATACAGCATTTTGTAGAAAATCTTACAAAATGAAAGCAACCTACTGGAAATCAGAAAATGTAGCTTTGCTTATTCGGCTTGTGTGAACTTCAATTTTTTTCTTGAGTAAGCATAGAGAAAGTAAAGAAAGTGTAACTTTTAAAAAGTTGTTCATAGACATAAATGAAGATGGAAAACATGAAGATTATGTGAAATGAACTGTTGCTGCTATTAATATGTTTAAGAAATTTAGTGTTTAGCCTAATATACTAGCCTATTATTTTCTTAGCATTAAAGTATCGGCATTGGAAGGTAGTAATGGGATAAGAGAGAATAATGAAACGTGTTGTATGATTTTTGTTTTTAAAGTGCTCATCAAAGAATAAAAAAAATCAGGTTATTTAAAAAATGAATTTTCTTGGTAGTCAGAGCTAAATAAAAATATTAGCAAGCTTGTATAATTAATTATATTTTCAGCTCCGCAAGCCTGGAGACCATAGATAATTATAAAAGGGCATAGACTTTAGTAGAGTTATTTTTTGTGGGGAACTGCACCATGTTAAAATAATATGGGAATAATTGTCTCAGCCAGACTTCCTTTTACTTCTTCCATGGAGCATAGAATTGTTTTAGACAGCAACAGACTTACCTTTGCAGTTCGTTGGTTGCCGGCACTGATGGGGAGTATTGTCATGGTTGCATTATAATCTCTCTTGGTGTGTGTGTTGTTGTTTTTATTTTTTTTGAGAATGTCACTTGTGTGTCACTTGTATTGTTCTGAATTTATATGGTATTCCCATTGTCCCACCCACTTTGATCTGGCAAATGGAAGAAAAACCTGTTGATGCTTCTGATGAAACAGCTATTTGTTGATTTTTAGTGATCTATATGATGGTACAACGTCTCTTTACTTACCTCAGGGGTCTACTCCCTATGTTGCTTACATGTAATTTACATGAACGTCTTTTGGCTGGATGTGCAGAGAAATACTGATACTTTTATCATATGCCCAGCATGTTAGGTTTAATGGTGATAACTTTTTTTGTAAACAGCTGCTTAGCTGTTTACCATGTCAGACAGGAAGTAGGGAATTATGTTATGCCCATTGTAGGTACCTTCTCTCCTTTCCCAAAAGATGTCTATTTGCTCATTAGCTCTTTTCATCCAGAGGAAAAAAATATTTTAAAAGCTGTTTTAGTGTTTCTTCACTGGTGTGCGAAACAGCTAATATTCGTTTAGGATTTGGATTCTGCTGATTCAGGGGACAGTGATTCGGTTTGGTGATTTGAATCATTGTCCCAAATTGATTTGGCTGAATCTCTG